TCAGTACTGTCACAATAGCCAATGCGCGACCGCAAAACAAGCTGCTGTACAGGTCCGTTGGATAATGGAGATGGAGGAAACTGGAAGCCCACGTGTCGACCAACATGGACACCTGATGACGGGAATTCTTCCAGCTAATGACAACAGCAAGAGAGTCCTTAGAGAAGAGGCCTTGACCAATGGGCCATGCACTGAACCTAAATAAAACATAACAAGGAAAAGGAAACACAAGGCCTAAAAAAGGCAAAAAGACACGCTGGGGGCATGTCCGCTGTCGGTGCTAAAGCCACTCCCAATTGCGGGAAAGCTGCCATCTATCTCGACTGTCAAATACAACCTGAATGGATGCTCCCTCTAGCAGCTTAATTTAAATAAGGAGACTGACCTGTTTTGTAAATTATCGCAACCAAGTAATATGCATTTACGTGACAAAGGCATAGCTAGCTAGAAAACGTCTCTGGTGACTGTCATAACCTCGGTTCCCTGGGAGTGGGAACGAAACATTTCGATAATCGCTGTGGGAACTCATCCCCTTCTCCAATTTTCTGAATCCTTATAGGATAACGCCAGTTTAATAAACTGGCCAATTCTCTCTACTTTTGCAAATAGCATGCACATACTGCACCAAAGAACATCTTTTGCTCAGGTATACTGAATTTGTATATTTAGCTAAAATGAACGAAGTGACTGCACTGAACACAAGGCAGAACAGCAACGTAATAAGCACATGAAAAGCACATAGACCTGTACATCGTCATCAGCTATATGTGGTAGCAACTAGTACAAAGCACATATATAAAAATGTAGATAGTCCAGCACAGTGTCAACAGCACACGCGTTGACAAATTGTGCTTAATGCAAGTATAGCAATAGTACAAAGCACATAATAAAAATGTACATAGTCCTGCACAGTGTCAACAGCACACGTGGTAACAAACTGTGCTCAATGCAAGTATAGCAATAGTACAAATCACATAATACAAATGTACATAGTCCTGCACAGTGCCAACAGCACATGTGGTAACAAACTGTTCTCAATGCAAGTATAGCGATAACTAGAAAGACAAGTGAGGCTAGTGACTCACCGAGTGTGGTTGAGATGCCAGGGCGCACGTCCAACTTGTAAAACCTGGCGAAAGTATTCTGTGAAGACCAGCCACCTGGAAAACATACAGTATATCCTGAATAGACGTGCCTTTAGACCAGGCCCATAAAGAGGCAAAAGCTCACATTGTATGGATTCTGATGTTAAGAGGGCATTCCTGGCTCACATAAGCTAACACGATAGCATCCGCTATCCAGTGAGAAAGCCTCTGCTTAGATACTGTTCGTCCCTTAGCACCAGTGGTGGACGAAGTACACAAATCAAGTACTTGAGTAAAAGTACAGATCCGTATAATAAAATATTATAGATAGGCGGAATCACGCTGAATGACAGACACACAGAAGCGCTGTCTCGGCCACGTGCCCGTGCGATCCCAGTTCTGCGATCAGTTCTGCCTGCGCCTTAATTGTTAAATACACACACAGCTGTCAAAATGTCAATACTCGTGTGGAGTATCTCATGTAAATACAGTCGGTTATGGCTTAAGTGAACATAAACAGGTGGGTGAAAACCGGATGTGTGTCAGTATATTATATTAATTCGGTCTTAAAGGGACAGCAGCCTAATTAAACTTTAAGGGGGTCTGAATACTTTCCGTACCCACTGTATATAAATGTAGATATCATGAAATAAAATGTATCTTCTGTCAGGGATTCTGTTCCTCGAGAGTATATCCGCTTTGCGATTTAGGAGATTTAGGAGAGTGCACGTCGCCTTTGTGATTTATGTACAAAACCACAGACATGTTGTCGGAGCGAATCAGCACATGTCAAGCCCGTAGGGCTAAGGACACCGCCTTCGGTTCCAAGTGGTTTATGTGCCAACTGCTCTGAGACTCTGACAACAGGCCTGAAGTCGGCATGCCCTTGCACACTGCTCCCCAGCCTGAAGTTGACGCATCTGTCGTAAAACTGTTTAACGATCGTACTCCACAGTTCAGTACTACATACTGTAGTTCACAGTCTTTGTTGTCTCATTAATGTTAATCAAACAACAAAAGATGTTAAATAAATTATACCTGTTAAACCTACTGTATTAGAAAAAACAAGTTTATTTAATATTTAATGTATATCTATTGTATTTTTCTTATGGTTTGTCATTTGCTTTATTTTTATATAAAAAATAACTATGCACGTGTGTGTATGTAGGCTATATGTGTATGTATCCACTTAAGCTCGGGGCGTTTTTTGGTATTTTCGCCTAAATTTAACATACTCAAATTCAAATGTTTACCCTGCACACATACAATGGAGGAAATGAAAAAAAATGGTT